CCCCCCCCCCCCACAAGAGATTCCATTTCCAAGGCATCAAGAATCCAAACGATACTCACTGGGAATTAGGTCAGATAACCGATGAGAACACTCAAATAGCCATTTGGCTACGCGATTTTTGTATACAGACAGAAAGAAGTATAAAAGGGCTACAAGACTAGGCGACGGGGAGGCTAGTACCGTACCGACGGCGGTTCGCCATCTACTCGGCCCATTTCCCCATTCCAGGATCAGGAAGGAGTTCGGACACCACGCCGTAGCCCAATGTCGAGCCAGCAGAACGAATGGTGAAGCGCTGACCCAGTTCTATGAACTGAAGAATAATAGTAAGAGGAAGCCCTCTTAAGGCACCTGGTTAAGAAATGGCGAGTTTACCATTTTCTTTTGCATGTGCAGCTTGATTCCAGCGTCCTCTCCGGGCATTAGTAGTTCTCGACCCTCTTCCAACTGCAGAAAAGCCGGACAGTCCCATGACATGCTGAAGATCTGTAGCTGGAAGTTGTTTGTAAATGGCTTCTCTCGACCCCCTTCTTTTTTAGAAAGCATGTAAACCTGAGTAAGGGAGAGAACAACCAACGAACTAAAAGTATTGGCGGATTAGAACAATTACTAGAAGAGACCATAAAAATTTGTGGACAAATTTCAAATATTAAAATACGGTGTTTTAAGTTCCCAAGTCTCAGCTCCGAGTTACTTAAGTACACACTTGAGCCTTGAAGTAGTTGTGAATAGTGGCCGATTTCGGAGCAACAATCGCCATTCCACGCCGAATCTCATCGCGTTTTATACCGCGTAGCAGAATACCGACCTGGTCACCAGCTTCGCCATATTCCATCATCTGATGAAACATTTCAATCCCAGTAACCGTGGACTTCAGTATTTTGTTGTAGCCGATCATTTCGACTTGATCTTGCAGTTTTACTTTCCCGCGCTTAATGCTGCCCGTTGCAACCGTTCCACGACCTGTGATTGTGAAAACCTAAATACGGAAGAAAAAACAGTACAAAGTGTTTAAATGAGGCAGAAAGAATAGCTTTAAAAGCATATTAGGAAGTTAACCTGCTCAATTGGAAGAAGAAGCGGCTTATCCAGATCACGCTTGGGCATTGGCACCTCGTCAATCACCTTCAGTAGTTCAACAATTTTATTACGACCAATAGTCGGGTCCTTGTCCTCCAAAGCGTAGAGAGCCGAACCGCTAACGACCGGAGTTTTGTCGCCATCAAATCCATACTGCCTAAGGGTATCACGGATTTCTAATTCAACAAGCTCCAACATCTCAGCGTCAGCAGCATCAGCTTTATTGATAAATACGACAATATTCTCTATCCCAATTTGTTTGGCAAGCAAGAGATGTTCACGAGTTTGAGGCATTGTTCCATCAGTTGCAGCAACGACAATAATGGCGCATTCCATTTGATTAGCCCCAGTAATCATGTTCTTAATGTAATCAGCATGACCAGGACAATCTGTATGACCATAATGGCGCTTGTCCGTTGAGTAATCGACCACAGCTGCATTAATAGTAATGCCCCGACGCCTCTCCTCGGGAGCAGCATCAATTTCCTCATATGATTTGTAAACAGTCTGTCCTTTGTGGTCCTCAGACAAAACTACGGAAGGAACTCAAAAATGGAAGAATATTACCCTTAGTAATAGCCGCTGTTAGAGTGGTCTTCCCGTGGTCTACGTGGCCAATAGTGCCAATATTCATATGCGGCTTATCACGAACATAGGCCTTCTTCTGCGTCCCTATCACAGCCGAAAGGATGGCAGCGGTATGGAGCTAAAATATTTTTTTAAAAAAAAGCCGAAACAATATACCCTGGAAATTGCTATTGAACACTGAGCCACCCTTGAGCAGCACAAAAGACTCTGGCAGAAATTATACCAAAGAAAAATAGTAGCATACCGAACAGTAACGACTCAGCATTTCGGAGTAAGAACGGCACTCACAGCTACAAAATGCAGATGCTGCTGGAAAAAACGCCAGTTTTGAAAGACAGATGTCAAGATTTGAGAGGGTTCAATGAATAAGTAATGGGAGTCAGAGCAATACAAAACATAAGAGCGATTAATATGGAAGGGCAAACACGCGTCAAACCTACGTCCTAGCTCACCAAGAGGAGGCAAAACAAATTCAGCACATGAGAATTTGTGGCTATAAGTAGATTAAAACAAATACTTTCCAAATGCGTAATGCAAAAGTCGGCGATTAGGAAACTAAAATTGACCAAGAAATTCACAAGCATGATCGTCGAAAGGCCTTCAAAATCTGATTAAGGCAAACGCTTATAGCACAAATGGCAACATAAAGTTATGACCCATTTGTATTGAAGTAAAGCGTTTGTGTATATAATATGCGGTATTTCAATCATTGCTGTAAATTTTAAAGACTTCTTGCCAGGTAGAAAAAGGCAGTAAGTGAAGTTGGATACATGTATTACACTGCTCATCTCTTCTTCTGAGAAACCTTCACGGCCCTAGCTCATTAGTCATCGCAAAAAATTCGATACTATAAGGAAGCCTACGAACCAACCGCCCTGGATGACAGCTACCATGAGACTGAGAAGCGGTACATGGTGTTCTTGGCAGCTTTAGTTGGATCTGATAACAAGATTCAAGGTCGCATGCATCTGTTGAACATCAACTGCTTCCAGGACTAGACGGTGGAACTCTGGTCTAAGACAGATAATTTACAGGGAAGACCGGATGAGCTACTGTCTTGCACATAAGGAAAACCGTACAGTCATTTCCGACATCTGTACACGGATTTTACAGAGCGAATTCCGAAACGATACTCTTCCAGATAGCTCACGGCGATGCCGCTTCAGTTGTTATTAGGTTTTCTGTAGAATACAGGGATACGGTGAAGCCAAACGTAGAGGATGGAAGTTGTTAAAAATGTCGAATTCGCTTCCCACTGCCATCGGTGTAGCGGCCCGAGACTTACCACCTGGAGGAAGAAAGCGCATGCTCGCATGTTTTGCAAAGAGGATGGAACGACTAGGGTTGAGCATGACCCAAAGGCCAGTCCACGAGTACAAGGACCAGACAAATCTTAAAGTGACAGCCAAACCTAAGATGGCCACATAAACAAAGCATTACAGCCGTTTTTAAAACTAATCAGTCCACTTTTAGACTTTCGAGTTTCTGACTTCATAATATGAATGCTTGAAGAGAGCTTATAAGACATCCTTTACAGATTAAAATGGTATGGATTTTGTAGCCTCCAGATGCTTCCTATAGGGCAGTAGAAGGCATAAGTGAAGGTGAATACATGTATTCGAAAGATGGCAGGACAAATGGACCTGAGCGTGGCCCGAGGGCCAGCCCACTTGTACAGAGGCCAGACAAATTCTAAAGTGACCGCCAACCGTCAGGTAGTCACATAAACAAGGCATTATAGGACAGCAGTCCGGAGTTACTGCGATGTAAATTGTGTTCGAATTATTCGACCACCTCTCCTTTGATGTGGTTACTATTACTAGACTTGTTATGCTGCATTTTGCAATTTAATGACTCTGCTTATTTTGAAACCACGGCAATTCATAGTTCTATAGCTCAGTGGATAGGAGACGAACGGCAGTAAATAAAAGCCAAAGATCGCGAACTAAACACTACCTGTTTTAATGGGTCCTATATGGGTAAGAAGGTAAGTCAATTTGAACACCTGGGTAGATGACGACTGTTGGCACCATCATCACCCTTGTTTCTGCATTACCCGTTAATCCTGTGTGCAACGCCTAGTAAAACACTTCTAACTAGATGGCCAATTGAGGATGAAAATGGGTGGAGCTCAGAATGCAATGCTTCGTTTATGTTACCATGTATATATATGGCATTTACTTTGGCATTCTTCTTGCTCTTAATAGCCTCAGCGTCAAGCCAAGAAACTAATTTTTCTTTTCATCCTAGACCAACTTCATGCCTTCTACCACCAAGTCAGAAGTCTCGAGTCCTACACAGGCTACAGACAGTGCTAGCCCTATAACATTGCTGAGTACGCAAGTCCTACATTGCCCATTGTCCCGTTCGTTAGAAGAAAGCATTGGATCAGCTAACGGACAAGAGCATGATGACCGCCGAAGTGATCGTCGCTCATACAGCTGGTCATATAGGCAGAGCATCCTCCAAAATCCCTTACGCGCCAGTCACCGCTGTGTATTTGAAGCTGTAAAAAAACAAAAACGAGTCATCCGCGCCGGCAATTAGCTTTAATAAGACCGAGGAAAGGCATCTCACAATGTCAGCATGTTCAGCCAAACTTATAGTTATGTTTGGCCCAAAAATTAGAAAGCACGGAACAGCACTTCTAGTGAAAGTCAGCTGTGGCCAGGATCAGGCATTTAAACTGAAACGTCCTAGGATTTTTCATTAAGTAAAAGAAGTCATTAAGTTGAGCTAACTGCGTATATTTTTCGGGTGAGGAAAGGAATAGTTGGTAACCTGGGCCAAAGGCTAGACCATGCGTAAAAGAGCAAGACGAAAACATGTAACCATAATATTGCAAGAACAATTGTTGGAAATGTATTCAAATAAAAGAAACCAAATACAATCGCATAAGGAAGAGCGTAAAATATATACTGAGGTGAGTAAGTGACACTTACGAGGAAAGAGGTTGGTTGGCTTGAATGTGAATCCCAGCTTGAAGAACGCGAGGACCTTCCCGCGGAGAAACGCCGAATCACTGTCTTATCCTTGCACACATCTCCTGCTAATCTGTAAAAGATTCCTAATGCGCCTGTAGCGCCCTGAGACTTCCTAGCCAGTAATAAGAAGTCAGTAAATACAGCTGGATACATGGATTCCGAAGACGACAGGGCAAATGTGCCTGGGCATGGCCCAAAGGCCGACCCGCGTATACAAGGAACAGACAAATTCTAAGGTGACCGCCAAGCGTCATGTGGTCACACAAACAAAGTATTACAACACCATCTCCAAGTAACCATCTTGTACAGTAGGAGTTTTAGAAGACTGAGCTTAGTGTAATGCCATCGCCGAAGTCTGTATTCTAACGCGGTAAGCGGAGCAAGCAGATCGGTATTTGCGAATTCCATACGATCAAATGGACTCCATTTGTTTTCAGGCAGTTTTCCCTACGCATATCATGTGCATTTAAATCGGACAAATTTGTACGTTATGTACTCAGCGCAACACTTGATGCAAACCAATTTAAAGGCAATAGTTTAAAATTTGACAAACTGTTGTGCGCTGGGAATTGGCACAATTCTTCGAAGCCATAAAACTTATATTGCATTTCAGAAGCTAACTTTATACTTTGCTTAACTTAATTGTCCACAAGTTTAGTTGCTTCGTCGTGCAATCTGCTCAATGCGTTTTCTTAAGCCAGCTAGTTACAGCCTTGATAATTCAGGGTCACTGAGTTAGCACAGGTAGGAGTCGGTGGTCTATCTCTTACTTTGTGGTCATACTTTTTAAAACGCCATCGTTTATTATTTTTTAAACGTGATTGCGTCACCCGTCAACAACTTTCATCAATACAAGTCTGATAGTCAGAATCATGCTTTGGGGGATGCGTTCATTCATTAGCTAGCTTTTGTATCAATGTTATTTGCGTTTTTCGGACTTTCTGAAAGACTTTTTCGCATGAGCTTATTTATGCAACCCATTTTTGCTTAAAGGTTTACAATAGTATTTTGCTGTGCATTTATGCCCCATGAGGGTTTTTTATGTTTCGAGTGCATTTTTCGTTTCCTTCAATTTCATTATGCCCATTAGTGATGAAAAACCATTGGGTGTAGTGAGTTATGACAGTGATACAGCAATTTCACCATTACTCAATCCATAGGAGTTAATTCTAAGTCGTATTGTGTTTCCGTGTAGATGAACGCTGAATTGGATAAGCGGATTTAGCTCTATTAAACGGTAGTAAAACTTTGTTGTAGATTGTAATGGAGTCACAAGTGGAGTTCTTCCATCATGCACCCGCCTCAGGCAGTTTGATTGACCAAAAAGAAGCCGCTTCTGCAGTTATGGAGGAAAATCTTTTGCTAAGGCAGGAAAATCAGCGTCTTCTTGAACAATTTTGTCAGCAGATTCACGTGAGTACTATCTATTCACTCCGTGCATAACTTTAATTGTGCGTATTTTTGCCATTACTAGGACATTCAGCGTGAGAAGGAGACAGTTCGTCTCCGACTGATAGCTGTGGAGAGCGATTACGAAGTGCAGATGAAGGAGCTGCAGATGGAAATTATGAATTTGCGTGAGGAGGTACAACAACAGAAGCGTCGTAGTGTGCAGAGAACACAGGAGCACGAGGCAACTATTCAGTCGCTGTGTGAACACAATACCGCGTTGCAAAAGAAACTCGATGAGGCCAATCAAAACACCACGGAGGCCAGTGCACAGATGAAGGAGATGCAGCATCACCTTCACATCGCTCGTGCGGCCATTCAGAACCATGTACAACAGATTGAGAACCTACGTGCTGAGGTTCGTACGCCTCTACTCCATTAAGAGAACCCTCTGCGTTATCGAACAGCCACGCTGAGTGGATTAGCCTACTATCAATGACTCGTTCGGTTTTGCATTGAGATTGGTAAATTTGTTTATGCGGACTTAGGGAATGCTTCATTACTTAGAGAAATTTTAAGAACTGTGGGGGTCTTATTCAAAAATGATCGTTTTGGACTGCCTAGTTGCCACTTGTTCCACGTCAGCTTATCTGGGCGTAGATTGCCTGATTATTTTAGGACATTTATTTATCATTCCTCGAAACCTGATATTGTATTCTTTGTCGTTCATCTTTTTTCGTTGCTTGATATGCACCATTATCACGTAAACAAGTGGATTGCAGTATGAAATGAAGGTATCCACCTACTTAAACAGGTATATTTTTCTATTATCATTTTTCAAGCCTTGGTAAACTTTTGGTCAGACCTTGGTCTGCTGCCTAAAGGGTCCTCTCAACCTCTTTACTTTGTATACAATAAGAACAGTTTGTTAACGAAGTTTCCAAAGTGTATACAATAGCACAAATTAATATAGTTGGCAGTGAAAAGAACAACTTTCTTGTCCCACGTTATCATCCTTGTATGGTTGCCTGTCTACGGCATTATGGATGTATTGTCAGGCGATGAAAGTCGCAAGTCTGTGCATATTTTTAGCAATTTTTTTTAACATTCGCAAAGCTCATTTCTCATATAGTGCCTGAGCCTTCATTAATGAAAACTCCAATCACTATACACAATAAATCATTTTAACTACTGAGTTCTAAACAATTGTCAAAACATTTCTGAAGGTTTGTCATCTTTTTTTATTTCTGCTGTTCGCCGGGCTCGAATGTAATAGAACACAACCGATTTTGTTAATTTTTTAGATTAACCACCTAAAGGAGGATAAGGCGACGTTGGAACAGAAGCTGCAGTCCATTATAGACGAGAGAGACTGCCTATTAACTACACTGTCAGACGCTCAGCAGGCCAATGCCCTTCTACAGCAGGAAAACGCCAATCAACAAATTGTGGTAAGCAGAATCCACCATATTCTACTGTTGATCCCTCTACTGGGAAAGTGAGTGATGATTAGGAAACTCGATGCCAATTATAGCTTCAGTTGCTTTTAAAACTCTACCATTGTGATCCAAATCGTGGGCTACAAGGTAATGCTTAGCCAAATGAAAGGTCCTTTTGCTGTGGCCCTTTCAGCCTTGAATTTTCGTTTTATTTCCCATCTTTGCGTAATAACTGACGTCTGGGAATGCATTTCTATGAAGCAGATCAATGTGTCAACGTTATTATCACAACTATTTCTTACGCAATCTTCCCGAATGCTTGCAACCCAGCGACTGGGAAATTCCCTTTTCACTGACCAATTAGAAAGGAGGGCATTCTCCTAACAACCATTTTTACGCCTCTGATTGGTTGTCGACCAAACTGCTAACAAGACCATTTCGATCTGCATTTTGGCCATAAAAATAACTCATTGAACAGTGTTCAAGAATTGGACACCAACAAAGTCATTATCTAATTAAATTTTCATTTCAATAAGTAGCTCTTGTACTTTGTATCGGCGGTGCCGCTTTGCAAGGCCTACACACCTAATGTGTTCAATCTACAGGCCAAAATGCGAAAAATTTTTTTGGCGGGTTCAAAAGAAGACAAATTGGTGCTACATTTTGTTCACTAGGATGTTGACCAGGTTAAGCCTGTTGGTTACAGGGTAGGACGTGTTTTCGATCCTTCACTTTAATCCAATATGAAGTAATAAAATCTGCCCCTGTGGAATACAAGCTTTGTATGCACGTTTCTATATTTATGCACTTAGATACCTAACTTTAATCACTTTATGCTCGGTAAATCATCGTAACTAGTCTTTCCGAGTCTTTGGCAGTCGGCCTTTTGAAGAGCTTCATTCCTTAACGGTGGAATGAATGATTGAGTAGAGTACAGAAACTTATTCTAACCAATGAAAAGCATACCAGGACAAATCACAATCACTACTTACCCTCCATTTATACTCCCCCTTCCCCCACCTCAAATTTGTTCAGGTAATTAAATGTTCAATTTTACCCAAGAAAGTGCTTAAAATTACTGACTGCCGACGTGCTTCATAGTGTAGCTCAAAATAAACTGCCCTGCATTCTTAATGTTATTTTTCGACATTAAGTTAATCCTTATTTCCTCCAATTTTCTAAGCTTGTATTCTGGGTTTGTGTGATTGACTCAAGGTCGTATTACTTTGCCTGAGTTCAGATAACATGTCAAGACAATGAGCTCGCACAGTTACAGGAAGCAGCTGCATTGTTGAGAGACCAACTTCAAACCCTTAATTCGGCGGCTTCACCATCTCGAAAGGCTATTGCTTCCATTGAGACCGAAAAATACAGTGGACAGAACTCAAACCCGCACCAATCGTTGATGGGCGAGCTGTCGGCTGCGAATGCAAATAATGTGGTAGGTTGACAGCTACATTTATAAGATTACTAGTACACCGGTGAAGCAAACTCCCTTGAGAGCAAACGCAGCGCTTGATGGCCACCTCAAGGCTAAGAAAAGGTGAATATTCCACTAAAACGGCCAGTAGGCTGGAATATCGGGTGGTGAAGTCCTAAGTGACCTTTTACAGAAACCGTGAACTCCAGGCGATATTTTGAGCCAACACCTTCAAAATATTCCGAACTTGAAAATGAAGGAAAGCAGGTCATGGTAAGGTCGGTACCATGCCTTTTTGGAATCATCATTTCTTTGACCAAATTGTTTCATATAGCCAAAGTGCAGTGTAAACAAAGTGCAGTGCCAAGTCTACAAGCATCCACTGAAACCACTCTTGGCGTGTATGTTAGATTGGATCGCCTACTAATGATTGACAGTCACTTCGATAAAAACAACCTTCTTTACTTACAGCCGTAATAGTGTAGAAGGGCGGTCCTTATTTAATTTCTTATTCATTTGAAGGTGAGTTGGCCCAATATATTACTGCTACCCAGAGATTCAGGCACTCGCGTTTTTCTCAATGCTACTTAAAGTGTGACAGGATCGGAAACGTGGCTTAAGGCAGAAATGCAACGCTAGACGCCAATCCAGTTAGATCCATTATTAAGGGGTTTAATCTGCAGCCTAACTCATAGAGTGGTTGTATGAGCTGGAGATTAGATCGGCAACCTTTGATTTCATGGGATTGAGAAGGAATTATGTTGGTGAGCGGTGTCGAAATTCCGACTGAATTCCCTCCTGGAACTCCTATCAAGCGGGGTACTTGAAGTTACCTCTGAATGGTGTAGGTGATGTTAGATGGGTAGGTGGTAGATTTGAATGAAAGTGAAGATTGTTTGCCACTGTATAGTTGAGGCCTTTCTGATATCCATCATTCCCATAGCCATTACAAACACACAGTCACTGACCGCATTGTTTATTTAGATCGAAAATGAGTAACTATCTTAGGAAGTTTCTGTTTGAATTTAGGAGGACGATTGGTGGTACAAACACGTTCAACTTGATCCCACAATGACCGAATTCTACGAAGATGATGGAATTGAGATCGATGATGCCTCTCTACTAGCCGCTATGACATCCAGCGGTAGGGTACTTCTATCTGGTGAAGGTGACAATGCAAATAAAATGGACGCGGGCGAACATTCTGGTGCAAATGGTTCCACAGAAGAGGAGTTCCTCGGCGACTTTCGTACCGAGGTTGCTGAAGTAAGTTTCAGTAGGCTTGGACAGGAACTTGCCACGGTTCTGCATCCACATAAAGTAGTTTAAGGCCATAAGTCTCACTCCAACAACACTATATGTGGGGTTGTCAACCCCATGCAAGACGGACCCGTTCAGGTGTCATAGTGGAGGTGACTCGAGCGCGGCATGATCCATCGTTCCCATCCCCTCTGTTTATGGCATTGCAAGCTGTGGGCTGTATTCAGTCAACCATGTTCCATAACTGCCACGACGTGGGTGGCTGTATATCAGACGGCCATGGTAACATGCCTAGGCGTTGCTGTCTGTCCCGTGGAGGAGGAAAGGTACTGCTAATGGAAATTAGAAGTGGAAAGTCATGCAATTTTCCCTTCTCTCTCCGCATGAGTGGGTTCATTCTGACTGCCCATCATTTTGGCACCGGAGGACGTTCGTTGCATGCGAACTCTATACTGGTTTGGTGGCAGCGCCCTCGCTGCTGCCAGGACGAAGCAAGTGGGGTGATTTTGGCGGAACTGTTTGTGATTAGATTTACCAACAACTACGCCAGATGTGTGTTGAGGTGAGTGCTCAATCCTCCACCAACACCTCGTCGACGACGGACCACAGACCAGGAGACTGGACGCCCGACCAACTGGCACGCATTGAGTGGGACTGTCGTCTTGCATCACTGCGCAACGTCCTCACGGATCTACGTGGCCTCCTTCAGGATCTTGTTGCTATTCCTACAAAGGTATTCTCCTCCTTGACTGCGTGTTTTGTTAGTAGTATTGTGACATTAGAACTATGTGAGGTGAGAAGTGGTAGAGATGTTGGGTCAAACAGTTGAATTAGGACAGCATTTGAATGTTCTTTCCAACTGTGAATTCTGCTTTGCATGATCGCGATGTCGTCAGAGGGCTCATTATTCGAGAAAAGAAAAATTTTTTCACTCTCCTTCCGACATCCTTGTCAGCCCATTTTTTTTTGGATCTTGTGGCCGGTCCACATTCACCCGACTTCCACCATCATAACTTGCACTATTGCGCCTGTATGGGCCCGCTAAGCCCACCAAATGTTACTGTTTCAATGGTCTCCATGTACACTTCTGTTTACGCTCTCCAAGGGACTCATTAACCGAGGCTTGTGCTCAGAGGGTAATAGTTCCAACCTTGTCATCAAAAAGTACCACCATCCATACTTAGGAGAAAGTTATGCTCCGAGAGTCACCTGTAACACAAGCGGAGAAGAACATTTAGTCTATCTATTGTCCCTAGCAGGACAAAATCACCAGTGCCGCTGTTATTTGTGGAAGCATTAAGTTGGACTGAAGTTGCTTCAACGTGCCTGTTCTTTCACCTTTCTAGACCTGAGGAGTGGTAAAACAAGCCGATGACTGAGGTGCATTCTGTTGCATGCCGTCTCCCTCTTTACGCTGTTTCTTCCTCCCATCTGGAATGCTTTGATTCAACCCTTTTCATGAGCAGAAAACTGTAACACTATTTGTATATTAAATTGGTGTTGTGGTTCTTTGAATCGTGCAGCCCCTTTCACTTTCGGTTGGGGATAAATACACAAATGGTCGCATCAATTCTTTCATTGCAGGCATGCACATTGAGAAGGACGGTGCGCTCCGATTTCTCCTTCTCGTTCTGACATCTTAGACCTCCGAATGATCTCCACAGCGGTTCATTTCCACCTCTCCACAAAAGAGTTGTGCAACATTTCAGTCAGCAGACACAAATTGACCATCTGACTAGCGTCTTATCAGGAAAAGCAATCGAAGTAATCGAAGGGGATCCTCTTGATGCTTCAATTACTTACAGTTTATGATTGTCTGTCCTAGTGGTCGCACGTCAGTCTATCTATATGCGCATAAACAGTTTTCATCAATCGTGTAGCAAAATGCAATTCTTGTCAAAGTTTCCCATTCGATAGATGGTGGTAGTGATGGGATGTGATGACGAGGGATGGGGAGGAATGGGTATCTCCTCAGGCCCTAAATTCATTAGTTCAACTGTTGACATCCCAATGGTTCGCAATATGAAAAGAGTTAGCTGCAGGCAGCAGTGGAGTTCAAAGCATCGATTATGAAAGGGTTTCACTTCAGTCTTGAGAACTTTCCTGTTTGTGTTGTAATCGGGACCAATAAAGTGGGTAATTAAAGTCCATCTCGTCGATGAGGAGAAGATTAACAAAGCCCATGTTGTAGGGAGCCAGTCAGGAGGTCCCAGCGCAGTACGGCCGTTCATTCATTAAATAATCTTGGTAAACCTTATTCGTCTTCACAAATGAGGTGGGTTTTGTTGACCTCAGTGCACAGTGGTTTGTGAAGATCTATTTCAATGCTTAAACCTGGATTCTTATTTCATTAGTTATAACTGTATGTGCTACCAGCCTTCAGTAGGACGTAATTACCTGAATATGAGTAAAAAGCTGATCTTATAAATGATTCCTGTGTAAATCCGACTATCGTAATCTCATTGTAAATTTAGACTTCAGTCCCTTAATATTTAAGTGGTGATAAAACACAAAAAGGCAACAAATTTCAATTACAAGCATCCTGTTCTTGAATGGAAGACAACGCAATCAGGCGCATTCATAAAATCGTTGAAGAAGGGAATGTACTACGTTTTACAGTCTTCATCCAAAACACTGTTTAATCTCATAGTAAAATAGATTGCCATTGCTTACAAAGTTTACTTTGAGCAGTCATAAATCACGCAAGTGGAGTGTTGTATGATTGAGATATCGGTAGTTTCAAAACGGAAACTTCAGAGTGAATATGCCTGCTGGTCTACGTGCATGGACAAAGCGAACAAACGTAAAGACCGACGTGACAAAAATAGGGGTTCAAATATTCCTCTATTTCCTTACAATAGTCGTTAGCAGATTTACGCCGCCTCCTACCACGATCGCTACACAAAATGTTTGACGATTGACCTTAAGTAAAGTCTTGGCAATAAAGTCTCTCAAAAAAGCGTTTTCGTCAATCTGAATTAGTAAGGCATCATTTAGGCTCAAAGGGTACACAGAAAGAGTTACTTAAAATAATAAGAGAAAAAGAGGGAAACACTATGTAAAGACAATACCGGAAAAAAGTAGCGCAAAGGAGTGCACTCGCAAGTGCAGAAGAACAATGCGCTCTACACAATCAAAAGAAAACAGACTTACAATCCCCTCGGCAGCTGTCAGTTGCGTCAAGCTTTTAAAGTTAAAAAAATTAATGCAAAATATTCCCATAAAAGAAGAGTGGCCCTAATTAACTTGATGGCAGAGCACGAGACACTAAAAAGCAAATGTTAAAATATGTCGTTTTAAAGAGTATTTTAGAGATTACTAAGATGGAGTGACGCTTCTTCAAGTGAGTCAGAAGTGGAATCAAATTGCCTTAATCGCCTCCAGGTGGCACGGTCTCCTCTCTCTCGCATCGCCTTAAAGCCCCATCACAGGAGACCCGTACACCAGACAGACAACTTTGTGTTCCATCTTCGGTCAGTCAACCACCCTCACTAGTGGCGTCAAACAAAGCCAATCAACATTGGCGGTGCCCTCCCTGCAAGTTCAAACAGGTCGGAACAAGTGCTTGCAGCAAACAACCCATTTAGAAATAGTACAAACCATTTTTTGTGGACTTCATGGTGGTGTTGGGTGAATATTTGGTGCACCTCCTTATCTCTCGTGCACGCGGATTGGAAAGGTCAGAAGTGGGATTTGGAAAGGCATTAGGAGGGACCTCCAAGGTTCCGACATATTTTATGTAAGGGTGCAGAGAAAATACTGCTTCTCACAAAGGCTGGAACAGAGCCTGGTGAACGAGGCTCACACTGTGAATGAAGGCATTTCAGCTTGAAGTTTGGTGGTAGTAAGTGAGCAGAACTAGGAAAGCTATCACAGACGGACACGTGAGAGCAATATGAAGTGTTATTTAGAGGTGTGAGGAGTGAGAAGGGCGCCAGATGAAACGAAAATTGCTGACTGTTTAAGTAAAACTAGGCGCCAACAACCCATCGACAACAATGTCGTAGAGGCTGGAACTCACACGTCAGCCGATGAAATTTGCAACGACGAGCAATTGTTCCTCCTCCCCCTCCCCCTTCCCCTCCCCCATCCACCTCCACCTTCTTCTTCTTCTCCCAACCGCTGCATTACGCGTTCCTTC